AACAGATAACTATGAAATAAACAGAAATGAAAAGAATAGTCTTGAGAAAGACGACCTGTGTTTCTTTCACATCATTTCATGAAACTGTAGGAATGCCTGGCTCCTTGAGTTTGTATGGGAATCCCAAGCTAAGTTTCCAACTTACAACCAAAAACCACTACCAATTCCCATATCCACAATTTTGACTATCCCAGAATTTTCAGATACAAGTAGGTAAGATTATTTTGGCTCTAATAAAACCTGGGATAATACTGAAAATTATAGCCCTACCTATCAGAAAACACTCCATTAACACACATAATGCTCTTACAATATTCTTTCTCCGTATCACAGTATTTGCAGTTCATAATGAGAAAGATGTCAAAGCAGTCAAAGATGTCATTATGTTTTTAAATGGACATTTTTCTAGCACATCCACCTGCAGCGTGGTGCAAACGAAACCACTATGTCATATCTGACCATCACATCACCTGTTCTACAAAACTTCACAGTCACTTCTACAGAATTACGACAAGAGACTCTTAGGTGACATGCATCAGGCACTTTAATAGGAGAAATTCTCTGCACTGACTCTTCTCACACACCTTTATTCAATTTCTATAGACTGTAGATTGACCCTGTCATCTCTGCTGCCCTGGACTAAAGCTTAGTTATAATCATGGTTGTAACACGATATAAATAGATCCAGAGGAAATTAAACAACTGAAGGCCAGGTCTCTGGGGGAATGCTAAGTGTTGGCTAATTCTTCAGCACAAGCCCCCTTTTCAGAGGAGAGCACCATGGAGGGTCACAAAACGTGTCTTTAAGCCATTTACACTTTGCCAAATTCTTGACTTGGAAATTCTGCCCAAGTCAAGGAGGGCAGGCAAATGCACTTTCCCTTATTTCTCCTCTCTGCAAAGAGTTACTGGAAAGAGGTAGCACATCAGAGAGCTTTCAGGCAGAGAAGTTCTTCTGATTAAGACCAAATTTTTGGAGTAAATCCCACAAATCAGTCTGGCAATCTAAATATTTTTCTGAAAGAACTAGATTGAGGCAGGGGAAAATGCTACCAGGTAATGTGAAACTGGAGTACCAGAAGTAGCAGCAAGGGCCTGTGGTGCCCCTCATGTTACACAGGTTAGATGACCCCAGTCAGCACAGAAGCAGCTTTCCCAGAGTGAGCTGCAGTCTCAGCAAGCCTCAGGAATCACAAACTATTTTTCGTATGTTTTTAAAGCAGATGCACTCCATTTTGTGGCCGTCAAACCACTTGGCAGCTCCTACGCAGTGCCCTGCAGCCTGCAAGTGCCCCAGGCTCTGGGGAGCCAGCAGCACTCCCGCAGCTCCCAGTGCAGGACACTCCTCTCCGCAGGCTGTCCTGGGAAGAGCCTTCATGAAGAAAAGGCCAAGCTGTGTGGGCTCCCACGCTCAAGGTGTTTTCACCAAAGCTAACAGACCAGTTTATCCATGCCCTAAGGTGTCTGCCTGAACACGGTTATTTACTGCGGCATCATCTTGCATGCAACAGAATCAAAAGAGCACCTAAGGTGCACATCTCTGCCACAACCTGCTCGCCTCAGGGTTTCGTGTAAGACTCTAAGTAAGCCTTGTCACCAAAGCGCAACTTCCTGAAACCTTCACTGTAGCAACCATCACTCATGGTGGGACAGGTCTCAGAGAGCAACTATGGAAGAATGAATTAGCAGAGTGAATTCTTGCTTCCTTTCCTCCCTCCAAGAGTAGAAGGCATTAATGGCAGAAGAACGTGTTGCATTCCTCCATCACCAGTGGCACCCTAATTAATTTCTAGCATGGTAAGAACTGAAGAATAACAAAAAGCTCAGAGAGGGAGACTTCCAGGCAGCTTGAAGAACAGCACTGTTGCATTACAGCATAATAATTGATCATGCTTTCTTCAGTTTACTAACTATATGTAGGTTCCAGGATGAGATGCCTATCAGCATTCAACCTAGTTATAAAGAGTTCCTAACTCCAGTAAACCAGGTAAGGTTAAAAAGGGTTCTTCTGAGTCACTGCCCTTCTTGTACAGGCTCTACCTTTCTACTGGTCATACAGCTGCAAACACAGTGAGCTGTGACAGGCCAACAGTCCCCCTAGCACACTAGTGAGTACCAACAGCATTGAGGCAAAGAGGCATATGCACATACTTAAAATAGTCTTTGAAAAAAATAATTTGAAGACATTTGAAGAGGGAGATGAGCTTCTCTGGACACTTCTTTTGTTTTAACTTCCAAGCTTTGCCAATCCCTCTCCTGCTACACAGCAAGAAGGTTTCCAAACAAACTCTTACCAACAAAACTCACTTCAACTTCTGAACACACGTATTTTGAACCGTTACAGAAACAGAACCTGTACCAGCAGAGTCATCAGGTGACACAATGAAAGACTTTGTGTCAGGGAAAACTTTCTAGAGCAGGAGGAAGCAAAGGAGGAATTAAAAATAGAGGCAAAAATGCATGGTATGCACCCAAGGGTCTGCTCCGGTGGCAAATTCAAGTAACAGTGGAATTTTACACTGGACTAGGAAACGGCCTGCTTTTGAAAAATAAATGCCAAGACCTTTAACACAAACAAATGTCTGTGTGAAACTGTGGATATTTATTTTGAGAATGGTAGCTCCGATTCTGATCAGATCATTTAATTCTATTTATATGGTGACTATCATGCTAAATATCCAGTTTAAAAATATACAGAAGTAACTGGGTAGACCTACACTGGAGTAAGAGAGGTCAGCTCTCAAAAAGCAACGTAGGAACCAACAAGAGACCAAAACATTCAGTATAATATTCACATTGCTGTATTTCATGTTTAATCACTGTAACCTGCTTTACACTAGCACTGCTGATTCTGCTTTACTTCTCACACCTGTGCCTCCATCAAGAATCCTGTAGACATCTCAAATCTTTTACAGTAGTTATATCAATGCTATCAACAATCAACGCAATCAACAGTGCTTATATCATCAGTGTTAATGTTCTGTTTGATTAGAGAATATTATGAATTCTGATTCTGTGATGCACTTCAATTGCCACAGAGTAAGTGAACTGTCCTTTTTAAGCGCACAGATTTTGGACAACTGGCAGTTGTACCAACATCTACAGAAAGTTCCATGGGGAGATGTATTGACATGCTTCAAACATCACTAGAAGTCTATCTGCAGTTTATTAACTGTGCAACTGTTTATTCCTGTGCAACATGGAACAGGAAATGGTAGAGCAGCCTTAGGTCAAGGCAAACTAAGACATGAAAAAGGAGTGTTCAGAAGCCACATAACTTCAGTGGCAACAGATAATGCATGAGAAACTACTCCACCTTTACCACTGGGAAGCACGTAATACTATTAGCATATTCTTCCAAATTAGGATTAACTTTTTCGTTTGACCATGTTATACAACACACATAAAACCAAAAATCTTAAAACACCCCTTTCCCCTTCATGTCTCACACTTGCAGTATTTTACTTATTCCTGTAGCTCATAATGAAGACATTTATTTTAAAGAGGCTGCCAATAAATCAGTAGTTTAGTGTCCTCAGGAGAGGCAAATAGATGACAGAACATTAGTCCTCAAAGCCTCTGTCCACTTCATGAAGATTCACAGTCACAAAACCTAGAGCTGTGACTTGACTTGTTTTATCTCAAATTCTTCCAGGTAGGATTACTTCCTAATAACTAATATTTTAAATATGAAATGCATAAATAAAATAACTTGGTCAAAATTATTTAGATTTAACATAATTCTGTAAAATAAGATTTCAATCCAAGGAAGATCAGTGTACTGAGAAAATCCATATGATGTAGACCACACAGTTCATAGCTTTGCATGTGTCTGAAATTACTGCTTTGCAACTGCATAACGAGCAGCCAAAAAAACTACATTTATGTTCCAGGACACTGAGACACCACATCTTTTCAACCCCCTGCTCTTTTGTCTCACAGCTCTGTTAAACAGTCAGCCAGATGCTCTGGCTAGAAATGGTCACAGATGGTCAGTTGTCCAGTTAACACACCAGAATGCTCTCCCCAAATCTCCTCTAAAACAGTATCTCAACTCTATGCAGCAGATGAAAATATCTGAGAGTGGTCAAGAGGCCATTTGACCTAGGTAAGACTGCGGGTCAATTCTGATAGTTTAGTCAAGATTAAGTCTCCACACTACCCCTAAGTAAACTATCTCAACACACTTCAAACATGAAGTGTCGAGTCCTATTTTACTTTTGCTGATTACATTATAGATCACATCTTTTTATGAAAGAAATTCTCAGTTATATGTGTTTACAGAAGCACCTACTACCTACGGATGATACCAACACATCTGTACTATGTGTTGAGTCTGTTTCCTCCCATAGCAAGATCTATAGGAAAAAACAGAGTCAAGGTGACCAGTGGAAAGACTCCAGTGGGACTCAGCAAGTTTTGTGCCCTAACCTTTGTGCTCAGTCCTGCAAATATTTACCAGTACTCCTTAAAAGTATTAACAAGATAATAACATGCACAAGGGTTATTTGCTACTATGGTGAGCAAGCACTGCTTGTTGTGTAGTATAGCTATGACAAAGGCTACAAATAACAGACAAATAGGCTAGAAATACCAGAGAAAAACACTTTGGTAGCTGGCATTAATATTTCATAGTTACTGGATCAGGCATAAATACACAAAAGCTGAAAAAAATGCATATTAAACTAAAAAGTAAAAGACGTCATTTATTACAATAGTTACTAACTCTAAATTCTGTATCTTGTGATAAGTAACTGGGTGTCCTTCTTCCTACTTACACAAGGTTTACAAGATCTGGTTATCTAAGTGTTGCGTGACACATATTTTGGGAGAGGATTATTCTGTCAGCTGTGTAATTCAAGCTTGCAAAGCTTATTGCTGGGAGAATAGCTGGCCAAACCTAAAAGTTGTTGCCTGACAGATTTAATGATTTAAGATCTCAAAGATGTCTTTGTCTTCACTGTCTTCCAGAATATGCAAGAAATATTCTACATACTCACCTAAACCACTGACAGTATACTCAAGATCACTGGCATCTAGCAGAATTGGTCCATTCTCCTGTTGGCCTTCTTCCTTGTAATACAGCTTGTACCCTTGAATAGCTGCTGTGTCCTCAGAGTCCTGCTGCCACTGTACTGTAATAGTTGTACAGTTCATCGGCTCCAAACGCAGCTCAGGAGACTTTGGTGCTGGTTTTAGAGAAATACATGTAACATTCTTAGATTCTAGAAACAACTAATTTTCACACAAAAATCTGGGTGCCCGTCAGCCCAAAGTAAACTCAAGACTTCGATTCTAGCTCATCTGTGTACTCATAATTAGTTCTTTATTATGATGTCCAACTCCCTATAAAGCTAATCTAACAATGTAATTCAGGATAAATTAGAATTGAAACATTTTTTAATGTAATAATAAATAAATAAACTAAAAGACAGTTAGTCCTTGTACTACCTGGTGAAAAAAATTGAAGTTGGTAACATTAAGAATTACCTTTCACACTTGTAGCTTTGGGAGTCCGGTGGGAAGTCCACAAAGATGCCTCTCCCCAGCCAATCCTTGTTGCAGCAGTGATACGAACCAAGTACACACTGTCAGGCCTCAGGCCTTCGAGGAGATACTCATCTGAAGTCCCTGGAAGCTCCAAGACTTGAACTTTGGTCTCTGTGCTGAGACGGAAAGACAGACGGTACAGGACCACCTGACCTCTCCTGTATTTTGCAGGAATTGGCAGCCAGGAGATGAGAATATCTGTAGGACTCCTGCTTGTCAAACTAATTTCAGGAGCTCTCAAGGGAACTAAAAAGGAAAAGACAAAGCTTTTGAGCCCAGGGAAAAGAGAAATGGAAAATTTTCATCTGAAACCTTAGTCTATGATGAGATGCCATTATTTTAAGAGTAAATAATCCAAGAAGTTTTGTACACTCTTGTTTATTTTAAGAATAACCTGACACTGCTCATACTTCTCACCTTCTGCATGCAGCATAGCCTTGGCAACCTCCTTTCTGTAAGGCCTTCGATGTTTTCTTCTCTTTCTACTGTCAGTAGTAATCAAAGGTAATCAGCAGCTTACTGTTCTGACAACCTGACCGTCAAGTTTAGATGCAGCAGCTTAAACTGAGTCTAGACAACAACCTGTACTGTTGAAGACTCATTGCATGTTTTCTTGTACCATCTGTGTAATGACGGTAGTAACTCCTGGACAAGAGACAGGCAGACAACTGGAACTGGCAGCGTTCCACACTGCCAAAGTTTAACCCTGTCAGAATTTATCAATCAGTTCTAATGAACTATACTAAACAGTTAGTTCTTGTCATGATGTTCAGATTTGTTAAATCACTGCACAAAAGTAGGGTCTTTTATGAAACTGTGATCCTACTGACAAGCACATGGTATAGCAAATTTTTTATTCCAAATTTTCCTGCAAAATTTGCAAAAGATGCAGTAGACATGCAGTTTGATGCACATTTCAGATGCCCAACACAATGTCATAGAGACTAAATCTCAGGGTATCATCAAATTCTCAACACTGAGGGAGTTCTTAAAAGATCTAGAACAGCTACCTACATAAGTTAATGAAATGTTTTTCAAAGCAGATAAAGACACCATGTAATACACAATGTTGCCCTGTCAGAATGTTACTTCACTCTCATTCCTTTCATCAGCTGGCTCAGTCTTCCTGAGCATATCCTGAAGCCTCACTGAAGTCAATGGAAATTTGGGATCCTCAAGGTCTGCTAGCACTGGGCTGCACAGTTCTACACAGTGCAAATAAAAACATTCACCTAAATCAGTGGTATTTTTCTTACCATCTTCAAGGGTGTGCTGAGTCACATGATCTGACATCTGACTGGCTCCCAGAGGCATATAAGCTACAATATAGAAGGTGTAATTGCTGGCTGGTTCCAAGTCATCAATAATGTAATGGGTTGTATCATTTCCAATGACCACTTGGTACTCTTCGTTATTTAAACCTGGCATAAAAAACCCCCAAGAGTTAGACAAACAAAAATTCCTGTCAATCCCCAAACATCACAGGATCTTAACTTTAAGATCTTACAAAGTTATTTCATGTTCTTCCCCAGCCTACCTCTGTGTTTTCAACCCCACTAAGTAAAAGCTCTTTTATGCACACGAGTAACTGTGTCTTGCTGCCGTGTAGATTGTGGTGTTTCAGCATTTTCCTGAATAAAGGATGATGAATGCAATTCTAAACCCTATTTAGAATTAGTCACAACAAATTGTGCCCAATGTACAGTAACACAACAGACAAGCCCTAATAGCCTTATCATTCACACCAAGCTTCTAAAACTATTTGTTTAGAGTCAGGGAGGTTTTTTTCAAAACCTATTTACAGAGCCCTTCTATAGCAGACTGTGAGGAATGTGAGGGCTCTACTCCATCAAAAACAAAACAAACACCCCCCAAAAAAAGAAACAAACAGAAAGAATTTATTCAGCAAAAGGATCTCATTTTAGCCCTGCGAATTCTATTACATTTGATTGACACCTTTTTTTCCTTAATTTGGAGAAAGGCCAATAAGAACAGACCAGAATGAGCTTCACAAACATTTGGCTCCTTAGTGAATAGTTAAAAATAAAAAAAAAAATTAAAAAAAAAAAAAGAAAGAAAAATAATTGTCAGCAATTCACATTAAAATATGCATAGCAATGCATGCAGCAGTCCTTGTATTTGTTGGGCTTTATTCCTACAGAGGAAGACTATAAAGTGGAGTAAGTGTGGTGAAAGCTGCTGTGTTAACGAACAATTCACACCAAGGGCATGTCAACTGAATCAAAACTCTGTAAGAGCCAGCTCCTCCTCTTCACAACTGAATTTATAAACAAAACGAAAGGCAAATTCCACCATTAAGTTTTCCCACATCTATGAATTAACTTGATAGCATTTTAATTAGACAAGATTACGAGCATCTCACAACAGACTAGTTAATGGCTTGTTAATTAGGAATTGCAAGGCACGATTTCTGACCTGCTAAACAAGATCCTTGAGCTCAAATTAAAAGGACTTGTTCTCTCATTGAATGGATTGCTAGGCCTCATGCAGAGGCCCTAATGAAACAGCCATAATAGAGAACAAGGCTTGCCTTCCACCACAATCAGTGTTCCCTTTGTGCCTTTTCTAAATCACTAACAAGGAATTAACACACTCCAACATGCACGCTCATCAGACCCTTATTCTTCTTGCTACTCTGACCCCGATTTGAATGTAAAATATTCTGCTTAAAGAAACAAAAAACCAAAACCACAAAACCCACACCTGTTGGTTCCTACAACTAACTTATTAAAACACTAACGTTTTGGGTTTTTTAATAGGAAAGAGGACCTGAACCTGTTTTTACAGTGAAACATCAGAATACTCAAGTTGTGAAATTAAATGAGTGATCTTTTGTATTCAAAGTACCTACCACATTGTGAAGTCTACAGAAAAAAATAATCTACAAAACTGCATAAGAACAGTGTATTATCCAGTTTTCCTTTCTGTTTAAAGCTTATGGAATCACAAGCAGCAGTACTACTTAGGACACCTAGCAAGCATGGTTTTTCTTTTGCAATAAAATGTTCTTTACTCACACTGACAAATGTGGTTGCCAACTAAAAGAAGAGACCAATATATGAATATGTATAAAAAGTTACACATAAGCTTTAAGCAAGTACGATACACTCCAGTTAAATCAGATACATCTGAGAATTTTTAATTTTCATTAGGGTCTGCAAGAGGGTGTGAGGGCAGAGTGGGCACAGACGTGCTGAAAGGAATAACAAAATCAATTCCTTCATTCATACAAACTATTTACACTAACACATAATTATAGAGAATTCATACAGAGTAAATAAGGTGTTAACAATGTCAACAGTCAATATGGCCTGGTATGATGTGAGTCATCCGAAGATTTTACTTAAGATTTAATTTGCATTTCTTTAAATATAGCTGCTTCTAAATTTACATTAGAGAAATGGCGGAGGAAGCAAGTTGCCATAAACCAGAGGGTTTTGGTTGCTTGGTTGCTTTTGTTTGGAGTTTGTTTTGGTTTTTAAACCAGGACAAGCTACAGTCTCATTTCACAAGATACAACCTTTGGATAAACAAGCAAATAAAGCAGGGATCACAAACTCATTTTGCAGAAAACACACTGCAGAAGATACCTCCTTTCACTACTGTGCAAGAGTATTTCCTGCACAGATACACACTTCCCTAAGGATAGTTTCCTAGTTTTCTTTGAAGTTACCGGGTCTTTGCTCTCTACTCTGGCACCAGACATACAATTACTCAGATAGCTTATCTAGTGTGACTTTATTCATACCAGCTTTAAGAGGGAGTTGTGAGCACAATACCTCAGTGCCTGAAAGCATGGGGGGTAATTTCCCACAACTCTTGTCCTCATTATCTTTTAAAACTCTTTCCTTCAGACAAAATTCTCTTGTGTCCTGAAATACCCCACTTGCAAAAGCAAAGGCAGCTATTCCTGCATCAGTATTAGAGTAATTAAGCTGTTCTTCCCGTCCTCTGCTTAGCAGATAACAGACTGGTATTCGACACAGAATTGAGCATCTGCAGTCCTGTCCTTGAGTAAACCACTTACTGAATAGAAGTGGAAAAAGAAATCACTCCTAGAAAACAGAGCTGCATCACAACTTAGTTTTACCCATGCACCTAAAAAATCTGAGTCATTTGGCAATCACTTCTGCTTATGTAAAATGCCTGTTTTCTACCATCTTAAAGATTACCTTAACTTAAAACAATTAAATAATACTAAGGGATTTAAAAATGTTAAGTTACTCATTTTTATTCCAACTATCCATTCTCTTTTGTGTATCATTTCAGAGACTAAGAGAAACCTTTCCTGGCTATTTCAGCATATTTTAGAGTTTAGCATACTTTTCTCATTATAGGAGACCACGGGGTGAAAGGAGAGCAGATTTTACCATTCAGCCAATATACGTTTTAAGAGAAGAAAGTTAATAAAGTATCAATTATTCCACTCCAAAATAGATGAAAGACAGTAAAGTCAGAAGAAATCAGGAATCTAGATAAAAGAACTATCTCTGGTGAGAAGTCCACTCTAACCCTCCAGG